TGGTGTCATGAGTAGAGAGGTTGTGTCAGTTTGGGTGTATAGCGAATCAGAACAAAAAAATTCCTTTAAAATGACCACTTCAGGTCGAACACGCACCATTCTCAGTCCTTTAAACTTCATCAGGTTGCAGATTTCAGTAGTCGAATCCCATGAGACCTCTGTCCGTAGACGATCTGCAGCTCGGGCTTTCCAACACCCCAACAGTCTGCATGCTCATGGAAGATCTTAACCTACGACTGTACAATTTTCATCTTCGCAAGGATGAGATGACATAGATCAGAACATGGCAATGTGTTCATGATTCCTTGATTGTCTTGAAAAGTGGGATCCTTTCCACGATGACATTTGGTTTAGTGCAAAGCCCATAATTTTCACCTTGCGAGATATGTAAACTCCAAAAATACTGCTATTGGGCACCCTACTCCCTATTGTCTCTAGAAGCCACTTCATACTGAATATATACAATGTATGTGGCTTTAAATACTCATACTTTAGCAGGTCCTTGTGTTTGGGCGCCATTGAACATTTCGAACGACGCGTTAATTAAAAATGTGTCGAGTTCAAAGCAGGGGACGTAAAGCACTGCTTCTAGGAATTTTAGAGAGAAACAGTTTTAAAAAAAAAAAAATATTGTTTAAGGAGGCGGGGCTACACCCCCGAAGTCAAAATTCGGCTCCAAATTTTGGAATTTGAGTTGTAGGCATTTTTAGCTTCCTCATCCTCTCCTACAACTATATCATCGCATAAGAACCCACAAAAAACCGTATTATTTCCCATACCGGGCATGTTTGTCCCCGCCATTTCCTCATAAAGTCAGTATTTTATTTTTCTTTATCGGCCGTTTTCTCAAAACGCGACTTTTCTCTATGCTTTTTTTAATAACTCCACCATTTTTCATCCAGTCTTCATGAAATTTTCACAGAATGAAGAGAAGATATAATGCTAAAAATTTGTCCTTTGAATTTTTAAAATATGAAATAGATTTTTGCTGGTGGTGTCTGGAGTGTGGATTTTCTCGGATTTTTTGCAAACTTGACTGCTACCAGGAAAATATTCATTAAACATTTTCTAATTCGTTTAGGAAAAAAACAACACACAAATTTTAGATTTAATGTTTGTGAACGCGCATACTAAAAAACAACCAATTTCCATGAGCGATAAGTGCGGTATTCATTACGTAAGACATGTCAACAAAATCCAATATGGCCGCCGTATCCATAGAAACGAAACTTTTTTTTCTCAAATTTGATTGCGGATTTTAAGACTCCTTACTATGCTTGTTATATGTGTGAAATTTGGTAAAATTCGGTCAAGTAATAAGCGAGATAACCTTCAGGGGTAACC